AGAAGTATCAGGTGACTGAGAAGCTTCTTTAACCTTCGGAAGGGCAACATCGTATATGTCGGAGTAAATTCCAGCCGATAAAGGAAGTGAACAGACTTCTTGAGCCCCAACAGCCAAACGGATTTGAGGAAATTCAAAAGCTGAATCATCATCACCTCGGATTACTTGTAGAAGAGCCTGAAAATACAACAGATTTGGAACGCTTAGTATAAGAGTAAAAAAGTGAGTTTATAGTTAAAAATTTAAGGTTAAGTTCATTGAGCTTGTAAATAAATTAAATATTAAATTTTATTCTCTAATGTAATTTTTTCCAAAGCAACTTGCTGATAGTTTATCATCACACCCTTCCAAGCAACTTTCAGTGAAAAATGTTAAACCTTTTTTATAAAACATGCTAAATTTAGAGAGAGAAAGCTCTCATTAAGACAGTTTACAGAAGTTTTCATATGTATTTGTCAACATATGCATGACTTTAATGAAAAGAATTATTGTACTGTGGGAACTTGAAACGTATCTTGAACACGGTGTTTGCTAGCTTCCTTGTTAAACATAGAGGCATATTAGCAAATAAGCGAAAATTAACACAGCTAAGTTGTGGTAGGGTGCATAATTAGACTGTTCAATACATGTCATTTCGAATGGCAATTTGGCCCCTAAAAACCGTATGCATATGTAAAATAGATGCATTAATTCGTATAAGATATTTCCCGCAGTTCGGTTGATGAGATTTAATAAAACATGCCAGAAAAAGGGAAAAATTGGATTAATATAGTTTGCTAAAGACCAGATATTCTTAATTCAGTGTCATTAAATCTTTGCAAGGATTCTGCTACTTACACACAGTCTGTGAAAATTAGAGATAAAAAAGTAATTTATTAGGTGGATAAGTTTAAAATAGTAAAGTGAATCTAATAAATTAATAGGAGACATCACCAAGAGAACCCTACAAAACACCCCGACACTATTTTTTCGCTATTTACAGGCAAACAAGACTTAGATATATGTAGATCCTTGACGCACTCGCAATAAGTGAGCTAGGAGGAATACAAGTATGCTTCAAATCTATAGGATTAAAGAATAAATCACTAGGGTCTTAGACAAATATAGTACAAAAAAATGTAGGGATTAGATTATTTGGTCAGCACAATATCGTATGGTGGAAAAGGCTGAAAATAAATCAGATCCAGGGTCGCTGGAAAACGATACAGGTTTAGATAGGACCACAATGTTAGATATAATCAATTAGAGGGTTTTTAAAAATTAGGATTATGTATAAACAGAAAGGAAATTAAAAGAATGAAAAGTGCTTAAGAATTCATCTGAATAGTGTATAGCTATCTTTGATGAAGTACGGAAAAGAGGATGATTATGGAGTATACTATATAATTTATCGAATGAGAGGTGGCAATATCTTAGAAGAGTAAGTAAAAGCAGCTAAATGAAGCTGAAATAGGTAAATGACAGCACGATTAAGGCTATGCGATAGCGATAGACGATAAAATAGGATAGGTAAATGAGAAAGCTATGGTTTATACGGGACTCTTTGTGATTTAGTTAAGAACTTCCCTAGATGCGCTTGATCACCTACTCGAATGGGATGGGATAGGGAAAATGAGATTTATGTGTTGAAGTCCTGTACAATTGAGTATATAACGAGTTAGATTAGAGTATTGACAAAGAAGTAGGTAATTTACATAAGATACGAAAAATGAGAATAATTTTGAATAAACTTATGATGCTAAGTATAACATAAGGGCAAATTTATTTGAATGAGTAGGCATTACTAAATTTTACCAACTTAATCTTCATATACGAAGAACAAGATGGTGTAGCGTTGTTAGGTCGCAATAGGATCGAGGCAACAGACCTGCTGAAAGATATCATGTGATACGCCCTGTACCAGAGAAATCATGATAACTCCAGGACCAGGCCGATAACTTGGAGCACTTATTTTATAAATCTGGTCTTTCCGGAGATTATTTTTTCAAGGTCCAAATTCAATTCTTCACAATTAAAAAAAACTTGCCTTGATTAGCTCATTCAATGAAGAGTCTACTAGAAATTTGCTCTCCTCCATTAGTTGATCCAACTGACACTGGAGAATTGTCTCTCTAGCGACCGTTATGGCTGTCTTTTCATCTAGGCTAAGTGTCATTTCACTGATGGTGGCCAATGCTGAAATGCTTTCAGTTAAATTTGTCAGCTCGGGTGCAACAGCATCAGCTGCAGACGTTGCTGATGCCGTAGCAGCAGACAGGGATGGACCAGATCCAGCGCAGGGATAAATTTCGAGCTCAGGAATTGCGGTCCTGGCAGCTGCAACGACAAGATGTATAACAGACCGCACCACATCTTCAGTCTCTGTGGGTCGGATGCGAGTTTGGAGATCCTTGTCTGTGAATAAAGTCTGGGGCTGAAAACATGGACGTTTTGTTGCATCGCTAGAAGATTTAAGCCAGGAAAGTCCGTGGTCGACTGGCTCATCAGCGTCGATAAGAGAAAGGAGACCAGGCTCAGAGTGATTAGAACCGCCAGAAGTAAGATATTGATAAAAGGAGCTCAGCATACTTTGCTCACCGCTGTAAAAGTAAGAGTGGCAGATGCAACTTAGGAAAATACATAGATTTGTTAAGTTGTTCAAAGGGGCCTTCACCGTCCCTAAAACCATTGCAAACATAAAAAATATATAACAATATCAAGTAGCTCTAAGAACATAAGCGATAAAAGTTTCCGGATCCATTCGTAAAATCATGTTAAGAATACATTAAAAAATATTAAACCTACAGATTTTAAAATCATCAGAGATACAAACGCCTTTCTTAAGCTCAAGATTAGAAAG